TTTGATGGATGTTGGATGAATGTTGGATGGATACTGGATGAATGTTGGATGTGGTGTTTGAAGCACACATTTTGACTATTTTCCATTGAGACTTCAGACTGAGGAGTGTATAACTCTTATTGTGAAGGAGCCAAAGGAATTGACCTGTCTTCAGCTAGGCTCAGGACAAAAGGTGAACTTTGTGCAGGGCTTGGAGGACCTGATGGAGGACATTCTGTCAGAACAGTCTCCTCTCATTTGTCACCTCCTCACAGCCATGATGTTCAGAAGAGACACACCCCCCACCCACCTTGTGGGTCCTTTGCAGCTTAGAAGTAAAATAGAATAGAACAGAACAGAACAGAACATAATATAATAGAACAGAACAGAACAGAACAGAACAGAATAGAATAGAATAGAATAGAATAGAATAGAATAGAATAGAATAGAATAGTAGTATATAAGTTAAAGGACTCAGATCAAGATTAGGACTCAAATCCATCCAGTATGGGGCTCAGACTCAGTGTGGGGCTCAGGTCCACTGATTTTGTATTCTTGTGGTTCTAGTTTCTGTAGATCTGTTTCTGATCTTTCTGTTCTGCAGCATGTGGTGAATTTTGCTGAGATAATGACTCTTCCTCCTCCTGATCAGCCTTCATCACTAACATCACCATGGAAACCATCCTGTGATCTTCAGCTCTGCTTTTTATCTGAGGACGTCCAGGATGTTCCTGCTGACACCAGTTAAACCAAACTGATGGTTTCAGTTTAAGGAAGGAGTTGCAGAAAGATCCCACAGCTGCATGTTAAGGATTTGAAAACTCTGCAGACTGAAGAGAAATGAGCAGCTGATCATGTCCTGACTCTTCCACTGCATGTGCAGTCTCTGTTGGCTTATTCTGTCAGCACAAAGCTCTGCTGTCAGCAGGATGCAGCTTCCTGTTGGTGCTCTCATTAACATTCTGCAGCTCTCGCTCTGACAGCAAATCAAACTGCAGCTCATCGGTTTCCTGAAAGACCTCAGTGAGGATCAGCAGCTCGTCTAAACTTGAATCAGCAGAAACACCTGGTTTCCACTGTTCCGCTGATTGTGGCAGAGTGTTTTATTTTTAGTTATGACAGCATGATGGTGGAAGACTAGAGGAGTTTCTAAGGAGAAGTGTGGGGGAGGTGAGGGGGAAAGAAAAGGTGAGGAGAAGGGCGGGGGAGGTGTTGTGTTACAGGAAGCAGCAAAGGCCAGCAGGGACGCTGCTGAATTATTGATCAAACTAATGGACAAGCTTTCATTTTTCTTTCTGAGAGGGAAAGAGCTGCAGTCACCTGAGATTTCCCATGAGGCCACAGTCACATGGTCACCACAGAAACACCAAAACAGTCATCCTGACTGGATGAGTGGAAAAGACAGGTGGGAATCCTTTTGTCACCTTCATCACCTGATCAGTCATCTAATCAAACAAACACATGAACACACTGAATCAGCACACATCATGTCATGTTACAAGTCTATACGGTCAACACACCTGTCGTCACTGTAAACACATCTGTCATCACTGTAAACATACATGTTATCATTGTAAACACAACTGTCATCACTGTAAACACATATGTCATCACTGTAAACACAACTGTCATTACTGTAAACACATCTGTCATCACTGTAAACACAACTGTCATCAATGTAAACACATCTGTCATCACTGTAAACACAACTGTCATCATTGTAAACACATCTGTCATCACTGTAAACACAACTGTCGTCACTGTAAACACAACTGTTGTCACTGTAAACATACATGTTATCACTGTAAACACATCTGTCATCACTGTAAACACACCTG